GAAGTTCTTCAGGGCGGTTCTGTTTTCCTAACAGGTGGGTACATGGAAGCTTTGGAGGTCACTAAAGAAACCTCAGGCCCAGAAGCCTTTAAGTCAAGTTCCCTCCCAGAGGAGACCTATGATGATGTGGAGTACCCTAGGACAAATGGGTAAGTACTTTCCTCTCATTCAGCAAGATGCACTTGATGAGGCTTTGAAGGCTCGACAAATTAATGCTTTGTTCTCTATTTCACAGACCAAAGTTGGACTTCTCCAGATCATTTACCTCAGACAGTGGTAAGTATGGGAGACAGTTCTGAAAGTTCCAGGGATCACGTGTCTTCTAGTTTATATTCGTCTCTTTAATAATATAAGTTGGATGGGTTGACGGTAAGCTAAGGGAAGTGGTCCCAAGGTGTGTGCTTGTAAGTGCAAGGAGGGCAGGTGAAGATTCTGGAAAGGGCATTCCTGTGATAACAAGCAATTTCCTTGCAACTGCTTCCCTCCTGGTTCCTCCTGATCTAGTCTAACTGGAGGAATTTTTTTTTTTAACTTAAAATGGTTTCATGGCTTCCAGGCACTTTTAGGATCCACCTTAACATGACTAGGGGCCTGTGTGGCTTCTGCGAATGCTATATTCAGCCTCCCCTTGATATCAGGCACAACGGCTTTCCAGGATTGCCCAAATCCCACTGCAGGATGTTTGCAGATGCTACCACCTCTTAGGGATAATGATAACAGTACCTGCTATGCAACTGATGCAAGGATTAAAGCATATTCATGATGAGTGCTGGCCCCTAATAAACCAGCAACTCCACCCTCTTTGCCAGGACCCTTTACCTGAGTAAGCTTAGCCAGGAATATTCTCCCTGGTGAGCAGTCTTAAAGTACCAGGGACATCTTTTTCATAGCACTTGCCTCAATTGTAAGTTTATACTTATGTGGCTCTTTGATAACTGTCTTCCCTCCTAGATTATTACCTGTTTGCTCAATGTTTCTCCTGCCCCTAGTGTAATGCTATATTTTAAAAAGATATATCTGCTGAATAAGCAAATGAATGGAAAAATAATGGGGAGGTATTAGTCAAAGGATACAAACTGTCAGAATAAGTTCAGGATATCTACTGTATAATAATCAAAACATTATGATTTCATTTAATAACAAGTATACCCAGAAATTGCCGAAAGTAGATTTTTAAAAATTTTTAAATGTTTTTTAGTTATCAATAGACCTTTATTTATTTATATGTGGTGCTGAGAACTGAACCCAGGGCCTCACATGTGTTAGGCAAGCGCTCTACCACTGAGCCACAACTCTAGCCCAAGAGTAGATTTTAAGGTTCTCATCACAAAAAAAAAAGTATGTGAGGTAAAAGATATGCTAAGTAGCTTGGTTTAGTTTTTCTGCAATGTATACGGTTAACAAAAACATGATTTGGTAAACACCATAAATATACACAATTTTTGCCAATTAAAAATAATAATTTAAAAAATTAAAAAGCAATGGAGATAATCATATATTACCCTGGTTGAGTTTCTTCTTAGAATCTTTGACTTTTAGATGGAGAAACCACATTAGAGAAAATTATATCCAATACTGTCATTTTAAAAAGAAAACTGAGGCACAGAGAAAGTTATGTGACCCCTTTGCTCATATGTGTTAAGTCAAGTTTGTAACCTCAAAATTCAGACCCTTAATCCAATGTTCTTTCCATTAGACTGTGTTGTCAGGGTAGAATTAACAACTATCTGTGTATGTTAAGCTTATGTGTTATGGTAGACTAAGGCCATGCTTAGACCAGAGAGATTATTCAAAAAGTATCTGGTTTCCCATCATTTTCCCAGCATTAGGCACAGTGTCTCATGCTTAAAAGGCTATGTGTTATGTGCTAAATATGGGAAGAAGGGAGGGTGAAAGGAGGCAATCTTGATAAATTAACTTTCTTTTGATAAATCAGAACAGACCTGGAATCAGGGTTGGAAGTGAGTCTTAATTTTCATTGTACATAATTTTAAAGAAGTTTAAATATTTTTATTTCATGCTTATAGAAACGTGCATAAGTTCCACTACAAACTACTTAAAGAAGGATCAAAATGCTTTGCACCTAATAGAAACTCAGTACTTTTTGTTAAATATTAATCTGAACTACTGTAATTATAATGAATGAAAATAATTTTTTTTTACTTTCAGAAGAAAATAGTGAAGAAATGTATGAAGATATCTACAAAACAAAAAGCAACTACCCCAAAATAGAGTGAGTTTCTCTTTGTTGGCTTTGAAGTTCAATGGTATTTCCTGTTGGTCCAGTAAATATGAGCTTCAACAATGATCCCTGTCCCCAGTACCCACCTTTACTAAAGGGAGGATTCACATAGAAAGTTGTGGTGAGTGATTAGAATACTACATTGTGATGAATAGGATATTTGTGATTATGTAGAATCATACACCACAAATTTAAATACATTGCTTTTGCTTGTGAGAAAACATCTACTTCCTCAAATAGAGAACATTGATACTGTATAAGGAAATAAATAAGAAAGGAGAAGTAAATATCAATAAAATTTCCTTCAATTCTGTAGTTGCTTTGCGAGGGAAAAAAAAAAAATCAATGATTACAGCTTACCTTTGCCAGTCTCTGGGATTTGAGATTAATTTAATATCTAATAACTCACTGTTACCAAGAACAATATTTTTTCCAATGGACGTTATTTTTCAAATATTTATAAAGAGCACATTGCCGAAAGGGAAATGTTAAAAGCAAGAAGTTTGAGGGTTAAAGGAAAGGGGATTGAGGTTATCACTCCCTTACCCCTCACAAACCCCAAAAGGATACTGGGAGAATTTTAATCATCAACCGGACAATCAGTGTATCACCATTGTTGCAATATTAAGTAAGTTGAAAATCAGCACTGTGAATTTCAGAAGCCAGAAATTCCTATATTTCTAGTGCCGTTTGTAGCCTATGCTCCCGTTATCTTGCTCCATAAACTGTGCAAAAATAGACACTATTTGTGATGGATGAAAGTTTGTGCTGCAATGTAATTACTCCCTTCACGGTTGACTGGTGTCTGCTACTTCATGTTAGAATCTAAGCAAAGAAAAGCAGAGTAGTTGATAAGGCATTTTCTTTCCCTTCCTTGAGTAGGGTGTTCTGAAAATGAGACCACAGCCTCTGGTTCTCTTTACAGCAGCCTTCGTCTCTAAGACTCTCTCAAGTGCCATGTTGTTTATCTTCTGATTCCTCATAGTTTAGATGGAAAAGAAGCCCTTAAAAGACTGCAGCAATTCTTCAGAAAGGAAAAAGGTAGATTTAAAATGAAGAAAACCAAGTCAAAAGAAAATGCAAGGTAAAAAGTACCATTTTTCTCTCTTCAGGGAGGGATTAACAGTGCTGGCCTGGTAGACACACAGGTTGATGTCTTCCACCTAGTTTGCAGAGACAGGAAGGAGTGTCAGAAACTAAAACCAATGGCTGAGCGAACTGCCTCTGTGCTACTAATGAGAAAGTGGCATGCCCCTCTTGAAAAAATTGATGATAAAAGGTTGTAAACAAGGATAGAGGGAAAGTCTTAAGCAAGCAAAGCCAAGAACAGAAAATTCTGTCATTGTCTAGGCATCTACACACATTGTTATCGCTAAGCACGGTTATTAATTATGTCCTTGTATGCTTTCTTGGCCCAGGTTCCAGCAGTTTTATTTGTCTACACTTCCATATTTAATTTGTCTTGAGAGCAGTAATGTGTGGAATGAGGAGATGAACTATTCAACTGAATAGTTTGTGTATCTCAAAAATCTTGAACCTAGGAAGGATAACTCAGGCTAACTGCCAGTCTTTGGAGAGGTTCCAAATGCACTGGCAGTGAAAGAGCCTAGGGTTCTGGATTCCAGTTTCAGTTCTGCCATTTACTCAGTTTGCAACCAGGGGCAAATCACTTCCATGTGTATCACAGGGATGCAGTTTCCTCCTGCATCCAGGGAGGAGGGAATTGTGTAGCTTCCAGACATAACTCTCTCAGATGTAGGTACACATCTGTATTTTGTGAGGGCTGGTAAAATAAAATTAACTAGGACCATTACCTATGTTAGGGTGGAATCATGCTATTCTATTCTGAAGTTGTTATAGACATAATGCTCCAATGTATGGTTTTAATCCAGTTGAAGCTAAACCTACCAAGAGATCCATCAGAACATGGCTTTTCTATAACATAGTCCTGATTATGACAGAAGAGATATGCTCTAGTAATTTATTTTTAGTCTCCCTTACAAAACTCCAAGCCATTTCAGGCAGAAACTGTGGATGTAATCATTTCATATATTTATCACAAAGGCCTGGTGCATGGTGGGTGCTCCAAAAATACCCATAGGGGAGAATTTAAATTGAAGGCTTAAAATACATAGGTACGTCTATGTTATCTCCTTAATGGTGAGGTGTGAAGTGCACCAAACAATCTAGCTGGGCCACACGCCTTTTCTCATTTAGAAATTCACCATCTTACATTTCTACCTGGCCTGGCTTTCTTCCTAAAAGTCCCCTTTTGGCTTAAATAACATAGGCAGAATGCAGTGTCTACAGAGATCCCATTAATTCATCAGTAAGTTGTTCTGTCTCACAAACACTTACCCACACGTAATGTGTCATATTAGCCTCTTGGAAGGTTAGTAGACAGGCACAGGATTCTGTGGATGGAGAAGCTCAGGGCTGTAGGGGCAGTCTGGAGTTGTCTAGGTAAGAAATGGAGTACTGGCCATCAGTGGGGATTCATTCATTTTGAATAGGTTTGGGGTGGGGGCGGGTGTGATCAGAACAAAGCTGCAGGAGGTTTGCTTCACAGCTTTCCCTGGAAGCGCCATATGGATTGGGACCCCTAGTAATCAATGTTTGTTGAGCTCATTTTTTGAACATGACTTTTTTCCACTTGACCTTTTTGTGTCTTTTGTCAATCAACAGTGCATTTTCCATTTCGATGCCTGATTTAGGTAAGTGACATTTACTTGTTGCTGACCCAAATTACTCTGCATTGGTATATTCAAGGACAGGGAAAGAGATGTGGTAATCCTTCCTTCCTTATATTGCCACATTCAAGGAAAAATGGGCCCATCAAAATCAAAGAAGATATCATATGACAGTATTTCTTACTTTGGGAAAGATAAGAAACACTTTGTGGGTAATACCTTATACCATACTTGGAA